GGAAGGATGGAAGGCCGAGGCAACCTTGAGCCTGGTGAGATTCGAACTGCCAAATTGCAGGCAGCCGGCAGGCAGCAGAAGTAGCCTGCAGTACTGCACTCTTAACCACTGTGCCACCATGGCTCATTAAGCTGCAGTTGTTAAGTGAATCACATAAGCCGGCTTGGCCTGAACAAAATAAAATAAATGATTGATTATTGTTAATTTTAATTGAATTTTTTAAATGTTATTGTTAATCTTAATTGGGTTTGTTTTTTGGATACTCTAATTTTTTTTAAACTTTTGTAATATGTGTTTTTTAATGTTGTACGCCGCCCTGAGTCCTTGGGAGAAGGGCGGCATATAAATCCAATAAACAACAACAACGTAAGTCATTAAGCGAATCTGGCTCCCCCCCCCCTTTGCCTTTGCTTGGGGAAGCCAATGGGAAGGTTACAAATAGAGACCACATGACCCTGGGATGCCGTAACCTGTGAATTACGCGCCATTTATCTAGTGCCCAAATTTTGATCACGTCACTTTGAGTATGCTGTGAAGGTCCTACGTGTGATGAGAAGTCGCTTTTTTTCAGCAACTTCAGTCACTAAATGAAAGGTTTTAAGTGGAGGACTACTTGAACTGGGCATTGCAAAAGGCACAGGTGAAAAAAAATCCATCTCTTGATTACTTTGATTAAACATGGTGATGCAAGTACCGTACAGTCAAAAAGGATGGCGCTTATGATGTCACAATGCAGAGGTGATTCTTTTGGCTAATTGTAACCAAGCATATAACTTTAGGGGCCAATTAATTGAAGTGGGCTTGGTTCCACCAATCCTGTCTCGTTCTTACATCCTTTGATGTATGCCAAGGGTCAGCAACCTGCGGCTCTGGAGCCGCACGTGGCTCTTTCATCCCTCTGCTGCGGCTTCCTGTCACCGGCCGGCACTACAATATTGAGAGGACCTTCCGGTTTGGCGGGGGAGCATGGTGTGCCAGGAGGAGACACTATGGCAAGGGGCGGGTTTTCCAGTCAGCTCCACAATTGATAGGGCTTTTGGTTAGGACAGGAAGAAGAAAAAGGATGCCACGCTAGGAGGAGACTCTATGGCGGGGAAAGCGGACTTCCAGTCGGCTCCAGAATTGAATGGGGGGCTTCTGGTTAGGACCTTTGTGGCTCTTTGAGTGTTTAAGGCTGCTGACCCCTGATTTATGCATTATATCAACAGCCACACAGTCTGATCCCTTAAATCTAGTTGCAATGTTCTTTTGGCACACTTGCAAAAGTTGCTGATGAATTGTGATTTTTTAAAAAACAGCGAGTCCTATTTACCCTATTTTTCAAAGTATAAGACGCACCTTTTTCTCTCAAAAAAGAGGCTGAAAATCTGGGTGCGTCTTATACACTGAATACAGCATTTTTTGCCTCCCGAAACCCCGTCCCCTTCACCAAAATGACCGTACATAACCTTTAGGAGGCTTCCAGAGTGCTCCTGGGGGCTGGGGAGGGCAGAAATGAGTGAAAAAATAGGTGGTTTTTTGCTCATTTTTTGCCCCCCCCCCAGCCTCCAGGAGCACTCTATAAGCCTCCTAAAAGCTATGCATGCCCTTTTTTAAAACAAAAAACGGGCCCGATTTTGCAACGTCTGCAGAGTTCAAAAACTTTTTTTTAAATTTGCCTCTTCAAAATCTTGGTGTGTCTTATACTCCGATGCGTCTTATACTCCGAAAAATATGGTATGTTTCAGTTGCTTCATGGGAACTTTTGGTGACCAAAGCATTCTTTCCTTATCATCTTATCATAATAATGTAAATAGTGACTAATCTCCTAAAAGATTGGGATTAAGACTCCCTGGTATTGTTCGGCAGTCTACATTTTATACCATTCAAGGTCTCATTTATCCCTTTTGCTATTAGGAACTTGAAAACTCTACTCCTCCGATTATTTTGCAAAACTAAACCGAAACCTAAAAGAAACAAGTTGTTTTGATAATCTTTGAGATTCAGAATTCCATTGAATTCTAAGAACTGGGTATGTTTTTCAGAAACTGAGATGAGCTATCCAAGTCACAGATGCTGTTCTTTTGAAAATGGCGGTTAGGAAACTATTTATTTATTTATTTTATTTATGCCAAGTCCATTCATTATTTTAGTAAGAAAAGGAGAACAGGGAAAACCCTGGGGAAAGTTACAAGCACAATATAAGTAAATACTCTGAAGAAAAGATACAACAATCACAAAATTAGGAAAAAGAAAAAGAAGATAGGGGAAAGGGGGAGAAGAAGGAAAAGAATTAAAACTGGGATTTTAGGGAGCCCAAGAGAAAATGATTAAAAGAGGAAGAAGGGGAAAAAGAGTTACATTAGTAGACTAAGATTGATATTGTGATGTAACTAATTAAGAAATAAAGAAATGATAGTATATTGTTAATTGTAGAAAAAAATTGAAAGAAATGCTCTCTATGTTTAATTTGAATCAGAGGATGTATTCTGTTTATAGCAAAATATACCAATGGAGAAAATAAAAAGGGAAATTTGGTGTAACTTTGAAGGGGCGATGGAAGATATTGTTTATGTATTAAGAAAAAATAATCATAAAGATGAAAAATGATGGAAGAGAAAAATTTGGCAGAAAGTGAAAATGAAACTATGATGTAAAAAGGACTATGTAAATTAGAGCAGTGTTTTTCAACCTTTTTTGTGCAAAGGCACACTTTTTTCATGAAAAAAATCACNACCGAATACAGCCATTTTTGGCCTCCTCCCTGCCTCCGCATCTCATTTTTGCAAAAAACAGACTGTTTTCCGCAAAAACAGAGATGTTTTTGCCTTGCCCCAGCCCCCAGGAGCACTCTGCAGGCTTCAGCAGGGGTGGGGAAAGGCAAAAATGCCCCCATTGTTTTGCAAAAGTGCTCCTGGGGGCCATGGAGGACAAAAACTTTTTTTCTTACTTACCTCTTTGAAATCTTGGTGCATCTTATACACCGGTGTGTCTTATAGTCCAAAAAATACGGTACATTCTCTTGGTTTTTATTTACATTGTGTATTAACAATTTTAAATATTCGTTTTCACATATAAAAATTGAAATATATAATCGGGATTGCTTTGCTTACCATCCCATTCACCTATTTTATTTTTCCACGACCCTGCTTTTCTTTCCTTTTCTCCCTCCCTCCCTTCTTCTTTACTTTCTTCTTTCCTCCTCTCCTTTCCCTTTTCTTCTTCCCCTTCTCCACTCCTCTCTTCTTCTTCCCCTTCCTGCTCTCTTTTCTACTCTTACTTCTCCTGCCTGTCTTCCTCTCCTTTCCTCTTTCTCCTTTCCCTCTCCTTTCCTCTCTTCTCTTCTCCTCTTCCTACATTAAGGTCCTGTGTCTGCATGATGATTTACATAAGCCCATCATTGTGTGCTCCAGGCAGCGACACGTCAAAGGGGGGGATTGTTCTGTTTCTAAAAAAAAATGCAATCTTTCCTAATGTTCATTGATAAGCTAATGAACTGATGCCCTGCTAGTTGAAGTAGCAATTTCAAATTTGTGATCTCCAGGTTTGTTTGTTTTTTTTTTAAAAATCCCAACAAGCATCTGCTGGCTGCGTTCGTGAATTATCAGTGAAATGGCATTAATAAAGCAGGGACGAGCAGCCTATATCTTATCCGAGTGTTTTGTTCTACGTCTCCCACAATGCACCGCTGTGGACAGTGCTGGGGGAAAACCAATGGGATTGGAGTTCAAACATCTGGACGCTTCAATGTTCCTGCTGTTTGTGTTGAGGAGTCATCCTACGTGAAGCAATCACACGCCTGTGCATAGAGGAACTGTCATTTAAGCTTGCCTTAGTAGATCTGCCGAGATTGCTGCTTCTGCTTCTTTTTGATTATTGCCTCTCGCAGCATGTCTTGGATAGTGTAACTGACATGTGGCCTTTTGTCTGACAGGCTGAGAGCAAAGTGTGACTTTCCACAAAGCGTCATATATGCTGAAGCTCTTGGATGTTAGAAGGTAAGCTTTCTCCCTAACCCCGTCGATGTTAAAGCACACAGCTGCTGGAACTCTCCAAAAAAAGGAGAAAGACAGATGTACCAATTTGGGGGATAAAAAGCTTTTTCTTTTAATAAGAATAGAAGCTCTCTTTATTGTCCTCCGTATTTCCTGGTCTTGTAAGCCGAGGTGGTATTCAGCCAGTTCAGACTGGTTCAGCTGAACCAGTAGTCGAAATTGTGGGTGGCCACCCCAGATCTATGCCATCCTATTTAGGCATGTTTTTGAGGCCGGGCGCATGCGTGGAAGGCACGTGGGCAAGCAAAGCACGTGCATGGAAGGCCAGGCACATGCGCACGGAGTGAACCGGTGGCAGTGGTGGGATTCAAATAATTTACCAACCAGTTCTCTACCCTAATGACTAGCTGGGTAGGCGGGGCTCGGTGGTCATGTGATCATGAGGGCGTGGCCAAGTCAATGTCACTCAGGTCGATGGGGAACTTCGCCTTAGTTGTTACAATGGTAATAAGGGTTAACAGTTTCTGTAAGCAGGGCAATAAAGATTAGGCTANCCTCCTGCGTCGCCGGGATGTTCCCACCCTCGCCCGCACCCCTTCCTATCAGGATCCATGCGTCCCACGCCCCTTTCGGGGTGTGTTTCCCCAACCGCCCCCCACCCCTTATTATTATCATTATTATATTTCCCCCTCTTCTTCTCCTTCTTCTTTTATTTCCCCCTGCGAGCATCGGAGGGAAAAGCAGGCGGCCGCTCTTTTGTCTCCCGACCCCCGGATGAGAGAGGCTGGGACCAGGCAGGGCACCGCTTTCTGCTCGACGCGGCCAGGTGGTCCTTGGGCTTGCTGGGATCGACGCCCCTCCTCCTCTTCTCTCCCTTCCTCCTCTTCCTCCTCCTCGCGGGCTGATCCAGCGGGCCGGATCCCCGGATCCTCGGCAGGTGGGTAGTGGATCGGATGCTGGCTTTTGCACCCAGGCTTCCCCCACCTCTATCTTGCTCATCCCGGATTCCCCCACTCGTCCTTCTCCGCAATTGCTTCCTTCTTCTTTTTTTTTCATTTCCCCATCCTCCAAGACTTCCCCAGCTCCCCGGATAGTGACGATCCAGTCCGGGTCCCGCTGTAACTCTGAATAGGGGGGGGGGGAGACCCTGTGCTTAACCTCCCCTGTGCTTAACCTCCCCCCCCCCATTCCCTCCCTCTCTACCTCCTCCCTCCCCGCACGTTCTCCTCCTTGCAGGCATCTCCAAGATCTGGGTGCAGCAGTCCCGAAGGATTGATGGGCAGCTGGGGTCTTTATCCCAGCCAGGAGGGTTTTACTACTGGCTCGGTTGCTGGTTGCCTTGCCTTAGCTCAGCCCTTCTCCTTCCCCCTTGATTTGCAGCGGCCTTTAGTCTGCTCTGTTAAATTGTGGGCCCCCCCCCCTTCCCATCAGCTAAAAAATGTTGGCTGGCCAGGGACCAAGAAGAGGGCCTTCTCTGCTGTGGCCCCTTGCTCTGTGGAACATCCTTCCCTTAAGAGATTTAGAGTGATCCCCGTCCCCCCCAACAACTCTAATAACTCGGCTATGTGTTCAAATCTGGGGTTCCGGATGTATTAAGGGCCCCTGTTGGTTTTACTGTTCAACTGGATGCTGTAGATATCTATTTTGCACGGTTTTTATTGGTTTTAAAGGTCTGTCGTGGTGCAGTAGTTATCAGTAACAAGAATCTGTTAAATCTGCTCTGGAACCCTCTCCCCCAGCCTGGAGGAAAAGGGGGGTGGGGGGGAATGAGAAGAGGTAAAAACAGCAAATCACCCCACTTTGGAATACATGCAGCAAGCAGTTTCCCCATCAGAAATCCAGCTTGCCTGTGACTGCAAGCTGCAGGCCTTGCTTTCTCTTCCCTGGGGGGTAATCCCTGCTGAAGCCGGTGTAAGATGGTGCTATTAATATGTTTCTCCATCCCAGCTTTCCTCTCTCTGCTAAAAGCTTCCTTCCCTGCATCACTTTTCACACAAGGCTTCACCTGCCCCGGAGAGAGAGGCCAGGATTTCTGAGAATCCCATTTGCTTGTGTGGTTTTTTCAAACTGCTTCTCATCGCAGCCCGGTTAAAAAATCCTTAAAGAGTTTTTATCCTTTATCCTAATCCTTAGAAGCAAATTATTGGGGGATGCCCCTTATTTCAGCTTTTTTCCATCCTGCATCCTTCCATTAGTGGAAGTGGATCTTGGAAAGCCTTTGTAGTGTAGANAGGCACACCACCATTAGAAAATGTTAAAAAAATTTAACTCTGTGCCTATATTGACTATATATAAAGTAATTCTCCCACGGCACACCTTACACTATGTCACGGCACACTAGTGTGCCACGGCACAGTGGTTGAAAAACACTGAATTAGAGGATGTAAAAGACCCAGATCGTTCCTATAATATGTATAATTTGTATTAAAAAATAAAAAACCTTGGAGGGGGGAAGAAAACATTTTATTTATTTATTTATTTATTTTATGGCTACATCCAAATCCTTTCTTGGTATCATATCTCTGAATGATGAATCAGAGAGCCACATTTTATTCTTTCCCTTCTACTGGGACCACACACATGGATACAATGTACAAATGGCATGTAATTAGCACATGTGTTTTTAATGGAAATGTCAACTCTGAATCTGACTTAGCTGAAGCCATTTTTCTCCTGCCTCATAGTTGCCCCAACTTTGAAAACAGCAGAGAAGTAGATAGATTGGCTACTGGTCAAAACAACAAGTTTTCTTCTGGGAACCAAGGTCATCCCAGCAGATAGCAGAGGATTGACTAAGCAGCTTCCCATCTACCTTCATTGGATAATGTGACACCTGGGGAGGGAATATTTGCTCTTTCAATTAGGAGGAAAACCACAGAAACCTTTAGATTTGGTCTTTACCAGCTGTGTCCAATAAACATGTTATTTGGGGAATATACCTGTCTCGAAGTTCTATTTTTTGGTGGATGCATTTCTTGGAACCCCAACAGGAAGTAGAAAAAAGGACAACTATCATATGTCATACTTTGTACTTTATCACAGTGTCGACACAAAGTTCCCAGCATTCAGTCAACTTACGGTAATTAAAATACATTTCTAAACAGTTACCTTGAGGAGCTCAAATAAAACCCTTCGTAACCTGATTTTACACACTGCACAATTAAGGCAAAGACTGGTTTTGCTTCTTCTAGGCTGGGTCACGTAAGTTCAGCCCCTTTGGTTTTCAAACCAAGATTTATGGTATAGTTTGTTGTTGAATCCAGGGAGGTGGGGCATATTGAACAATACATACTGGTAGTTAAATGTATTTGAGGGAGAAATCTGTCTTATAGTGAGCATTACAATACTTGATTGTGAGCATTTTTTGCAAGGACATCTTTGCGGCAGAAAGATATGTATGTACTGTAAATACGAAGGATCCTTGGCAGGGGTGAAATCAACCTACTTTTGCTACAGGTTCACAAATGCATGTACAGAGCGTCAAAAACAGGATGTGATGACGTCCGGGCAGTGGGTGGAGCTTCCCACTGCCACTGCTACCGGTTCCCCAAACCGGATAGAACTGGCTGAATAGCACCATTGGTCCTTGGTGTTTTTTTTATTTATTTGCAGATGTTTCATTACCCAAACTAGGTAACACCATCGTTGCTAGTGACTAGTGATTAGCACTGATGATGTTACCTACCTTGAGTAATGAAACGTCTCCAAGCGGGGGGGGAAAAACCAAGCTCAGAGAGCACCAAGGACCCCTCATTTCGACCCTGAGCTACAAATGAAGAGAAGGAATAGGGGAGAGATTATAGCGATGTTCCAATATTTGAGGGCCTGTCACAGAGAGGGAGGGGTCAACTTATTTTCCAAAGCACCAGAAGGCCAGACGAGAAATAAATGGATGGAAACTGAACAAGGAGAGATTCAACCTGGAAATAAGGAGACATTTTTTTTCTGACAGTAAGAACAATCAACCCATGGAACAGAAGTTGCCTTCAGAGGTTGTGGGAGCTTCATCACTGGAGGATTTCAAGAAGAGATTGGCCTGACATCTGTCAGAAATGGTGTAGGGTCTCCTGCTTGGGCAGGGGTGGGGTTGGACTAGATGACCTGCAAGTTCCCTTCCAACTCTGTTGTGTTGTGTTTTCTATTCCTATTCCATTCCATTCTACCCTATCCTATTCTATTCTATCCCACCCTACCCTTATTCTTATTCTCTTATTCTTATTCCTATCCTATCCTACCCTACTCTACCCTACCCTTCCATTCTATTCTACCTTATTCTACCCTACACTATTCCTATACCTATTCCTATTCAATTCAATTCTATTCTGCCCTATCCTTCCATTCCATTCTACCATATTCTATTCTATCCTACCCTGTCTTATTCCTATTCCTATTCCTGTCCTATCCTATCCTACCCTACTCTACCCTACCGTACCCTAATCTACCCTATTCCTATTATTCCTATTCTATTCTACTCTACCCTAGCCTGCCATATCTTATTCCTATTCTATTCTACCCTATTCTATCTTATTCCTATTCTATCCTACCCTACCCTATCTTATTCCTATTCTATTCTATTCTATCCTATCTTATTCCTATTCTATTCTACCCTACCCTATCTTATTTCTATCCTATCTTATTCCTATTCTATTCTACCCTATCTTATTTCTATTCTATTCTATTCTATTCTCCCCTGCCGTATCTTATTTCTATTCTATTCTACCCTACCCTATTTTATTCCTATTCCTATTCTATTCTATCCTACCCTATTTTATTCCTATTCCTATTCTATTCTATCCTACCCTATCTTATTCCTATTCTATTCTATTCTATTCTACCCTATTCCTATTCTATTCTACCCTACCCTATCTTATTCCTATTCTATTCTATTCTATTCTACCCTATT